TGATACATCCAATCCATTAAGTCACAGATACATCCAATCCATTAAGTCGCTGATAGACCCGATCCATTAAGTCGCTGATACATCCGATCCATAAAGTCGCTGATACATCCGATCCATTAAGTCGCTGATACATCCGATCCATTAAGTCGCTGATACATCCATTAAGTCGCTGATACATCCGATCCATTAAGTCGCTGATACATCCGATCCATGAAGTCGCTGATACATCCGATCCATGAAGTCGCTGATACATCCGATCCATTAAGTCGCTGAAACATCCGATCCACTAAGTCGCTGATACATCCGATCCATGAAGTCGCTGATACATCCGATCCATAAAGTCGCTGATACATCCGATCCATAAAGTCGCTGATACATCCGATCCATTAAGTCGCTGATACATCCGATCCATTAAGTCGCTGATACATCCGATCCATGAAGTCGCTGATACATCCGATCCATGAAGTCGCTGATACATCCGATCCATGAAGTCGCTGATACATCCGATCCATTAAGTCGCTGATACATCCGATCCATGAAGTCGCTGATACATCCGATCCATGAAGTCGCTGATACATCCGATCCATTAAGTCGCTGATACATCCGATCCATTAAGTCGCTGATACATCCGATCCATTAAGTCGCTGATACATCCGATCCATGAATCGCTGATACATCCGATCCATTAAGTCGCTGATACATCCGATCCATTAAGTCGCTGATACATCCGATCCATGAAGTCGCTGATACATCCGATCCATTAAGTCGCTGATACATCCGATCCATGAAGTCGCTGATACATCCGATCCATGAAGTCGCTGATACATCCGATCCATTAAGTCGCTGATACATCCGATCCATGAAGTCGCGGATACATCTAATCCATTAAGTCGCTGATACATCCGATCCATAAAGTCACAGATACATCCGATCCATTAAGTCGCTGATACACCCGATCCATTAAGTCACAGATACATCCGATCCATTAAGTCGCTGATAGACCCGATCCATTAAGTCGCTGATACACCCGATCCATGAAGTCGCTGATACACTCGATCCATGAAGTCGCTGATACACCCGATCCATTAAGTCGCTGATACATCCGATCCATTTAGTCGCTGATACACCCGATCCATTAAGTCGCTGATACACCCGATCCATGAAGTCGCTGATACATCCGATCCATTAAGTCGCTGATACATCCGATCCATGAAGTCGCTGATACATCCGATCCATGAAGTCGCTGATACATCCGATCCATTAAGTCGCTGATACATCCGATCCATGAAGTCGCTGATACATCCGATCCATGAAGTCGCTGATACATCCGATCCATTAAGTCGCTGATACATCCGATCCATTAAGTCGCTGATACATCCGATCCATTAAGTCGCTGATACATCCGATCCATGAAGTCGCTGATACATCCGATCCATTAAGTCGCTGATACATCCGATCCATTAAGTCGCTGATACATCCGATCCATTAAGTCGCTGATACATCCGATCCATTAAGTCGCTGATACATCCGATCCACTAAGTCGCTGATACATCCGATCCATGAAGTCGCTGATACATCCGATCCATTAAGTCGCTGATACATCCGATCCATGAAGTCGCTGATACATCCGATCCATGAAGTCGCTGATACATCCGATCCATTAAGTCGCTGATACATCCGATCCATGAAGTCGCTGATACATCCAATCCATTTAGTCGCTGATACATCCGATCCATTAAGTCGCAGATACATCCAATCCATTAAGTCGCAGATACATCCAATCCATTAAATCGCTGATACATCCGATCCATTAAGTCGCTGATACATCCGATCCATTAAGTCGCTGATACATCCGATCCATGAAGTCGCTGATACATCCGATCCATTTAGTCGCTGATACATCCGATCCATTTAGTCGCTGATACATCCGATCCATTAAGTCGCTGATACATCCGATCCATTAAGTCGCTGATACATCCGATCCAAGAAGTCGCTGATACATCCGATCCATGAAGTCGCTGATACACCCGATCCATTTAGTCGCTGATACATCCGATCCATGAAGTCGCTGATACATCCGATCCATTAAGTCGCTGATACATCCGATCCATGAAGTCGCTGATACATCCGATCCATGAAGTCGCTGATACATCCGATCCATTTAGTCGCTGATACATCCGATCCATTAAGTCGCTGATTCATCCGATCCATTAAGTCGCTGATACACCCGATCCATTAAGTCGTCTAGTATATCATGTGGATCAGTTATAAATACAGAACCGCAACATTAAATTTCTCGACTGCCGAAATATTTCCAAAAATTCTGCATCTATGTGATTAACCATAGCATATATTTTATCGAAAAACATGCATTGTCCCAGATGTTTGAAAAACTAATTATACTTTAGTCTTGAAAAAAAGAGATTGTCGGCCACCAAAAATACATTGTTGCAAGATTATGTTTTTTTAGGCTCGTTTGAAAAAAATCTGGTTTTGCAGATGTAGCTGAGCAAATTGTCGCTGTTAGTAACAGGCTCTATAATATACACAAAGAAAAAAAGTTAGGCACACCCCTATTTCTTAACCATGACAAATGGCAAAAATCATGGCATGGGATGACTGACCACAGGAGCTGGGCGATACCAATGTTATGGGATAGAACAAACATTGACAACAAATAAGGAAAATATTGGTGAGTTGTGATTGAAATTTACTGACAAAAACATCATGGTAACACAGGTACTGCTTTTGACCTTAGACAATACCTAAAAAAAGTATGGAGCTGCAGGATTAAGTAAACGTGTTACGTTTTATGTGAAACTGTTCCTTAAAGTCTGTACTTGACATGACACGTGAAAGAGATCAGAAGCGGGTATAGCCGCCACGTGTCCGGATGACGCATTCCACCCTCCGTCTCATGACTCCAGTCAGACGTTGGATCTGTTGATGGGTCAACAACAACCACTCCTGATGCAATGCTGCTTCCAATTGGCGTAAATCTTGTACAGGAGGATCTCGTGCCTGTATGCGTCGCAGCTTTGTGGTGATCTCTCAACAAGGGACGCTTTATGACTCGTCTAGCCTGACGGGAACGCCGATTTGGCAACCACAGCTGTTTCAGACGAGTACTTGTCAAAAAGGGTTCTCGGCGCATGAGACGAAGAAGGTCCCTGTCTTCGCGATGTGCCGTCACAGGAGGTCTTCCGGATCTTCGACGGTCCTGTACATCACCGGTCTGAGCATGTTCCTCGACAAAATTCCGACCAATGGCATCACAAGACATTCCAGCGTTATGCATGCCGATTATTTGACATCTTGTGGCGTTTGATAATCGCCTTCGTGCCATGGTCACACAATGTCATGGAATAATTGATTAAAACCGAGCTTACGAAAGCCTTATTAACGTTTGGATATACTGCTTTTTGAGATACTCTCGGGTAGCATGCTGCACGGGCATACCATGCATGGCACGTGAGCTTTCGTCACGCATGACTGATTACATCATCTTGAGAAAACATAATTCTTCCCGTAATTATATCTTTCATGACTCTTACAAATATTTGGACCAAACTATAATGAAATATATTAATTAGGGTGTGCTTAACTTTTTTCTTTGTGTATATATGTCAGTGCACACACGAATGTCAAGAATTTGTCACTATGTAATGCCTTGAAAGAGGCCAGTGCTTCGTTATTGAATACTGTCTGAAGATGCCAGTCGGTGTTTCAATCAGGCATATAACATGCATGTCAGGTTGCATGATAAAGACCTCGATTGCCCGCTCGTGTATAGGTACAGCCAGCATTTTAGAAACTGTCACATCACGTGTGTTTGTCAACCATAGGATGTACCTCTCAATCACACATCCTGTTCCAAGCTGGCCACAAATGCATTTTGATATTTTACGAGCGTTTCGGTCATTTTTTGCCACTGACAATTACGAGAAATAAATAGAGAATCGATAAGGCCATATTACTAGAATATGTTCGGTGCGGCGAATAAGCAAGGTGTAGATAAAACAATAACCCTTATCGTCAAAAGTACTTTCATAATGCACGATTAGCAAATTGTCAATAAAACATTTTCCGTTTATTTTTTATCATTCCGCATGCGTCCATTAATCTCAAAGTTAAGTTTACAAATAAGCGTGAGGAAATGAAGTTCTTGGTACTTACTATGTTGCTTCACAAGGTAAGTGAAAGATGCTTGACTTTTGCGCGTTACCGAAATGAAGTGGTGGTTTGAAACCATCGAAGGATGAGGTTCATTTGTCGTCTACTTATCAGTGATGTATTTAATCCTGGTTCATACCCTTAGGAAGCTTAACGCGGACACACCAAATACCAAAAAGATACGAAAATAAAACATGTGTGTCACACCTTATCTTGGTAGAGGGGCCACGGGTGGCTTTGTGCTCTAAGTTGCCGCAATTCTCAGTGTAGAATTGCGTCCCTTGGACACACCAGAAATCTATGATCGTGGGTTCGAATCCCAGTTCACCCCGATTCTGTTTTCACAGTTTTCAGCACCAAAGTGATGAACTTCTGAGACCTTTATCACTCAGAACATAATTTGTAAGTGTTGTAATGGGCATCTGTTGTCAACTTAGCATTACTGACACGCCCTATTCTTCAGAACAAGTAACATTTATAACAAGAGTGAGGTACTGACATATGGATTTGTGACAGCTGTCAAAATGATCGGTATCTTCAAGGCTGGATTAGGAATGGGTAAATATATACATCAGTTCACAGTGCTACTTGGGAAAAAGTTAGGTTTCAGGTGTGTGTGTGTGTGTGTGTGTGTGTGTGTGTGTGTGTGTGTGTGTGCGTCCGTGCGTGCGTCCGTGCGTGTGTGTGTGTGTGTGTGTGTGTGTGTGTGTGTGTGTGTGTGTGTGTGTGTGTGGATACATATTGTAACTGCATTTAATGTCAGACGTTTGAACTGCTCAACAATATTTAATAATAACTAAACGAACATAATTTGTTTCGTATTACAGGTACACCAGGTGGATAAAAAAGGAGATAATAACGATGAGGCTGAAAAACATGCAGTACTTGATATGTCCGATGATAATTCTTATCTCTTTAAACATATGTTATGTATTTGTGAAAACGAAAAGTGATACCACCAGGACATATTCGCCACATATACGCCTTGTGAGCAGCAAGCACAAGCGTTTTCAAAATACCTTCAGCACCTTCAGCACCGATCATGCCTTATCTGAAGCAGACACTGAAAGCCAACCTGATGCAGCTGCTGGCATTTCATACCCTGTGATCATCACGGAGGAGTCAAACAAAGAACCTACGTCTGCATCTGGATCTCAAGTTCGGCCGTTTAGGTGTAACAGCTGTTTCAGACACGACTTCATGTATCTCATACAAAATAAAGACATCTGCAGCGAGACGAATAATGACTCAGTTGACCTTCTAATACTCATTCTGACAAGCCACAACAATGTGTACAGAAGGAATGGCATACGCGCAACATGGGCTTCAATCTCCAGGAACAATACTGGACATGTGCGCTATGTCTTCCTACTGGGTGAAGTTCTTCGTGATCAGTTAATGGAAAACGTAAAGCTTGAGGCAATGCGCCATAAAGACATGTTGATGGAGGACTTCAGAGACTCGTACACCAATCTGACATACAAAACCATCATGGGTTTAAAATGGGCCTCCTTATTTTGTGACAATGCCAAATTTGTCCTAAAAACAGATGACGACATGTGGATAAATGTGCCTGAAATGATACGACTAGTCAAGCGCAATCATTTATTTTTGCAATCAGGTGCATTAGGAGCATGTGGACGTTTTGATGTGATAAGGGACAAGAGGTCCAGGGGTTACATTTCATTCAACGACTTTCCTGAGCCATACTACCCTGATTATTGTTCAGGTAGTGGCTATGTCACTAGTATGGCCGTTGCAAAACAGGTATATGACATATCGCGTCATGTACCGTTCTTGAAGTTTGAAGACGCATATTTTGGTTTATGTATTGACGCCCTTGGAACGGTGAACCTCAGATACCAAAGAGGATGTTTTTACACAGGTGACTATAGGAAAAACCTGTGTATTTTGAAATCAAAATATGTTTTAACATGTCATGGTGTGCCTTTACCATTAATCAAAAAGATAATGCAAGCTGAATGTTGACGTTGATGTTGCTACAATTGTATCAGGCCTACAACTTACATTAAACATCGAACTGGAACGATCACCACTGACTGTATTATAATTATGTCACTGTCTGCACCGATGATAGTGCACAATCTTTGCATAAGTTGTTATAAAACTTATATAACTTTAGAGGCTGCCGTTTTCTGTACGTACACATATCAGGGACAATAAATGTTGTTTGCTTTGTCATATACCATTTCTCATGTTTGAAAATAGACTACAATTCGCCTCACTCTATAACTGGAGACCGCCATTTCGAGCGTAGGAGTCATGGTGCTAAATGTTCACTGCTATCACCTGACGTATTTCGTATTACGTATTGTAATTTCATCGCACATCCATTGCTTACTCAAGGATTTTGATTTCTGAACTCAGTGAAATAGCAGACTGTACCGACTACCCTTGACGAAATGCAAAATCTGAAACTTATCATGGATGCAGAGATAAAAGTCAGAAGAGGAAATCTCAGGTTTTAAAGGTTAATTTTCAAGGACGATGTAAGTGTGAGCAGTAACCATCACAGCGATTCCCCTGTGTTCACCCTACAGTTTGCTCAGAGCAACCTCACAACGCCAAATCAAGAGGTGGAGACAACAGAGAAAGGTGTGTAAGAGTGTGGCTGGGCTTTATTTGGTGGAGTCATGTCCCTTATGTCTTGGAAGTTTATGTTCTAAACTAATGCACGCTGAGCCCTAGAGGAAAACGTTCATCAAACATTGGAAAATAAGTCAAACTCAGTTTCATAAAATGACGTTTATGATTTCTGTGGATAATACGTCAAAAGGTGTAAATAAACTTATTCAATTTCTTCAGTCATCTGCTCTATATTGCACCAAAATTTTACCTTTATATAACGATAACCTAAGCAAGAACTCACTACGGTTTATCAAAGACTGTACATTTTTATGGTAAAGCCTTTGATTCAGTTAACAGAGATTTTCTTTGATATAATGTAATGTTAATGTAATGTTAAAGAATAACATTCATGTTTACATGTTTAATATCTTAAAGGATATGTATTCAAATCTGAAGCAGATGTTAAATTATCAAGATCAGTTTGCAGAGGAATGGTGACTAACTTTCTTAATTTTGCCAATTGGCTTAAATTATCAATTCTGATGAAACGGAAGCGTTGGTTTTCAGAAATGGTTGTAGGTGGAGGAAGCATGAAGCCTTGTATGTTGGAGATAGAAGATTAATAATTTCAACTTATAATCATTTGGGATCGATAACTTCGAACAATTTCTGTTCAAATTTTGTTAATAAATAAAAATAAGGCATCGTATTCAGTTAAATAATTTGCAAACATACTTCTGAATAGATCTCCAGTAGTTGCATTTAAAATATTTGATATTGCGATACAACCTGGAAGGTTGGAGACTTCAGAAATGTGAGGTTTCGCAAATATGTAATGGGTGTAAGTTATACATGCACAAATAATGCCGTTGTAACTGAATATGGCAGGAATTGTTTGTTGATTCCTCGTTAAGAGTGGTTGAATATTTGTTTGAGCTTTGGAGCTCCCGGAGGATAGATATCCAAATCAATGTATTATGTTGTGTAATGTAATTGATGTTGCCAGGAATCCTGGATTTGTCTAGGAATCCCAGGGAGTTGGTAATAAAGCAGCGTTTCGAAATGAAATGTCCATTCAAGGATAATGGTTGTAAAGCGCAGTCAATCTTCTCTGACATTCAAGCTTGTTCTTCACTCGATATGTATTCCAATGTCAAGCATTCCTTTTGTATTGAGTCTCATTTGTCAAACAAGAAAACCAAAGCGATACGGCGCAGAAACATCTCATCACGACAGAAAGGAGGATGATAATGGTAAAGATGAATGTCATTGCATGTGCCGTACATATTACAAGTTGCAGCATAAATACTTAGAAATTTACCTGTGTACAATGATAAAAAATTGAATTGAAATATTACATCGTAACAGTCTGTCAACTCGAACGAACTGTTCTAACTACAAAAGAGGTGCATTAGCATCACGCTGTTCATGTCATGTTCAGCATGTCTCACTCCTCCGTGTATTATTAATGTTTATTTCAATTTGTACGTGGGTCAAATATTGCAAAAAGCGGTGTAAAACCACACTCACTCAATCACTCACTCCAAGGCCTTAAAAAGGAAATAAAAGGGATTGATTGATTGCACCATTTTTTACATAGGTAAATCTTACACAGACTACCTCATAAGCTCACCACTTTCAGAAACCATCAATCCAAAAACATATTTCAAGAAGACATCGTTTTTGGAGTCACTTCGAGAAGCAATCGATAATATTTCACAATATATTCATTAATTGTCAAAACCCAGCAATCATTTGTCTGTTGAAGCGTGATCCCGTGATCGTTTTTCTCAGAAAATAACGAGAGAGTCTGTTTCAAAATTTCTAAACATGATTTGTTGGTTTGATGCTAATGTTGCTTGTGAAAGACGTGCGAACGGCCACGTCCACAAGTTTGGAAAAAGAGGCAAAATATATTATTTATATCAACATACATACAACTTCACCGCACAGTCATATGAATAGCTGTCAATGTTCCAATGTATGCTCCAGACCTTATATTGACAAATTGACCGCATACTATGAGATTCTTGTAATTAAAGTGAAAATCCCTAAGGATATCCCATGCTACCGTTAGCATGAAGCACTGCAGGAACACTGTAAGTACACATTTATTTTGTGACAAAATGACTTCAGCAGCTTCTTCCTTTTGTATAAAACAAAAATGCCCTGAACGCTGATCATTGTTCGCGAAATATATTTAGAAACATATTAAATTGGTCGGGAAAACACAGGGAATATTATATGAATCGATTACTGAAAATCAGTAATGACACCAGGTTTTTCGCGAAAAGGGTAAGCATGCCTTCACCCGGTAAGACTCACCCCGCTCACATGATTTGCTTAAAAGGTAAGTGTTTTTGCCTGATGCCGCACAGCAATAGTCATGATCATACCATGCGACGGCGGTATGTGAGCAAACCAGACAACCAAGTGATGAACCAGCAACCCAGTCACACGACAACGATTTGGGGAAATTAAAGTTCGCTGTTTGTTTGTTTGTTGTTTAACGCCGCCTCAGCAATGCGCCGGCTATATGACGGCGATCTGTAAATAATGGAGTCTTGACCAGACAATCAAGTATGTGATATTATGAGCATCGACTAACGTAATTGGAATAGGATGACATGCGTCAACCAAGTCAGCGAGTATGACCACCCGATCCTGTAAGTCGCCTCTTACGTCAAGCGTGGGTTGCTGAAGATATATTCTAACCATGATTTTAACGGTTTTAAAGAAGAAGTTAAATCCTATTATAATTTTCTTTCTCGTCCTGAAAGTGGATATTGCCTAAAAGTCGGGCCGGTCCGGGCCCAAGTTATTATTGGCTAATTTCTCCATTACCATACCTACATATTATTGATGCAACAGACACACATGACATTAATATAATGAACAATCACAAACCAAAATAACGTGCAGCATAATTAAGTGATTGCGAGTAAATCGCTTGAAAATCAGAAAGTCGACCTGTGTGTAAGCGTTGTTGAGCTAGGTAACATGTAAAAGAGCAATCGGTAAACGAAATGGGATTTGAAACTTATCAAATATTTCTGTCGGCATAGCGTTTACATCTCTAGGATAGTCCTATATCTAAATAAAAAACACTTTATAATGTCACTGTTCATCTTATTTAAAGCAGACACGATGGTTAAAGTAGAGCTCTTTTCTCCATACTCTCAACAGTCTGACAAGTGTTCCGTCTGACTTGTCCCGGGCTGTTAAAATCAACTTAAACCTCACAGATGTATCATGAAATGTGTTTACATCTATAGACTAGTATTTTATCTACCAATATACAATTTATAGTGTCTTAGATCGCGGTATTTAAAGAAAACACGGTAGCGGTGCTCCAAGTGAAGCCCCTTTTCCTCCACATTCTCAGTATAGTCTCTATCAGAAGTGTTTGGCTTGTGTTGGGTCCGACTTGGCCCGGGCTGTCAAAATCAACTTAAACCTCACGGATGTATCATCGAATGTGTTTACATCTACAGTCTGGTATTATATCAAGGGCCAACTTTTGTAAAATAATGTAAAATACATATGACACGAAAATAAACTATTCTCTCTCTCTTTTACTACACGTCAAGTGTGAGCTTGCTCCTGCTGACCGTCTCCCAATCGGAAGCCTCTTCCCACCCCCTGTAGCTAGCCTTGCTCCAAGGCTGTACTGAATGATAAGTCTGAAAACTCTGCACTGCGATATTTTGTTCCTTACTAAGAGTCAGCAAATGTGTCATAGTCGAATAGACGTGAAGTACATGGTGAATAAATTACAGATTCCTTTCTTGTTAGCTCAAACCATAATATCGCAATTAAATATTTATGCAATATATTGACGATGAGTTACCCGCCCCAACAGCAGCCACATATTTAATTATAGAGCACAAAGGTAACCAACGATCCAGAAAATAGACGGGGCAATGAATAAAGACTCAGTGGTATCTTTACGAACTACGTAAATATGGAGGATCTAACTACATATAGAGCCAGAATTGGATGTTTCTCTCATCCACCCGGGACCCGACAGGTGAGCCACGTCGACGGGTACACGCCATTCACTACACCCCACGATGATATGCCGTATCGTTTCATCTTGTGTTCTTTGCTATTCACTGTATATTTACTACTGTCAAGCAACACTGACCTTCAACCAAGATGTAATTCTGAATACTTGTACACTATGTGAGGAGTACATTCCCCGCGCCACTGATAATGTTTACATTTATGCTAGCCGCATAGCTGTGTTCACTCATCCGCGACAGACACCGTCCTCGGGACTTGGCCCAGGGCACCCTCCCGCACCAATCCTTAACAGCAAGCAGATGATTGTTTACTTTCACATTATCTTAGTTAACGGTATATCAAATAAACGCGATGATTTGGCTTTTCTAAAATATTTATCAGAGTTTGACATTTTGTATTTACTGTAAACATTCAGCGATAAAGTTATTATCAAGTTATTATTTATCAGAGTATACCCCTTATGTAGCAAAGGCACATAAAACTGCCCGTCATGGACGACTGTATGTAGGCGGTATGTATGGTTTTGTCAAAAAGACATTAGATGCATTGTGCACACAGG